GGCAGCCGGGGCATTGGGATGGACCTGGGCGGATAATTTCGAGACGTTCGCCCGGCGCGCGGGACAGGCGATGCCCATGACGGGACAGCCCCAAGGCTGGTGGCTACATACCTTGAGAGATGACCCGCGCATGCTTGCCCCCAAGAACGACAGGCAGCTGGCCGAAAGGAAAGACATGCAAGGATTAGCGCCAGTCAACTACCACATCACCACGACGATCCTGAGGAAGGCCGGGAGGTCGACGGCGATGGAGAGCGACGACGAAGAGCAGGATGAAGGGAAACCACAGCGACCCCTTGTGCCTGAGAGCATCCTCATCGGCGAGAAGGACATCGCGGCGCCTAGGCTCACTCGAGCCGAAGTCCCCTTCCTCAGAGCGCACTTGCAATTGGGCAACGGTTACTGGACCGAGGCTCGCGCATATCATTGGCAAGCAGAGCCATCGGATATGCCCGTTCTGTTTGACGGCGACCGAGGACATGGATCACATCATCATCAAGAGTACCAAGTGGGAGGCTAAGAGAAAGGAGCTGTTAAACTTGTGCACGATGGACTTCCTAATGTCATTGCCGACCTGCACCAGACAGTGTGGTATTGTGCTTGACGGACCAGATTATGATGATTTTGGCGCTGCTCTGCTTCCCGAGGACCCCCCCCCCCCCACTACCACCACCTCCGCACCGAAGTGACCAGGGAGAACGGATCCTCACGGGGGGCCGCTTCATTGTGGCAGCGGAGGATGGAGCGCGCCCTGGGTAGGCAAGCGACTTGCGCGTTCGCCGAAGCGGATGCGTTCTGCACTACGGCCCAGAGCACGCGATGAACATCAACATGCCGCGCACATCTGTTGCCCAAGGGACACAACGGGCGGAAGTTGCGGCGCTGCGTGATCAGCTGGGCCTGGCGCCCGCAGGTATACTTGACGGGCTCGGCGCATTGCGTTCGACTCATGTCCGCCCTTCTTCGAGGAGAAGAGATCAGACCGAAGACGCACATTGACCTTTGGCAGGCGATCGAGCTCGGACTCAAAGTGAAGGGAGTCGGGCACTTCGTTATCCAGAAGATCAAAGCTCACGAACAGGAGGAGGAGGCCACCGAGGAGGGATTCCCTTTTCGGCAATATAGCAGAGCTGCTGATGAGGGAGCGGTCGAGGCTGCAAGACGACATGCCTTACCGACGCCTGCATTACATCAGCATCTTCGAGGTCAGCATTTGGGATATCAATCGCAGATTACGGCCGCCAGAACCTGGTGCACACGTGCTGCTGAGTTGCGAGCACTCGGACGCCAGGCGTTCGTTGGGCGACAGACTGGAGCAGGGCCAAGCTTTCCTCCAGGCGGAGGAGCATGTTGGCGAAGAAGAGGGCCTCTGTCACGAAAAAGAAGAAGAGGGTCCTTGGGCTCATGTTGGAATGGGTATTGGAAGAGAGGCGATAGCGACGGGATCATCACCGCGCGCTACCCCTACCTCACAGAGGGCGAGGATGTCAAGCACGCCACCGTGCACGGCGACGGTGCGAAGACGGCTAAAGGGCAGTCAGGCAGCGGGAGGGCAGGCGACATCAACCACCTCGACCACCACGCCAACCACGACAAGCCCGACACCGACATCGACGAGCTCACCAGAGGCCCCCAACCTCACAGACAATCCCTTGGAGTGGTCGCCGAAGTCCACCTTCCCTGGCTACGAGTGGGGCCCTTTCGTACCGAATGCAACTGATAGAAGAAGCAACCCATGGAAGTTCACTCCGAATACACCTGCACGGCTGAAGGCCGAGGAGTGGTTTATCCTCAACAGATGTTCCCAGCGATGGTACGGTACTTTGTACTCTTCTGGAGTGGAGCCAAGGGGATACGGAGTGTTCGCCTCAGAGGGCTACCTAGATGGAATTGGCAGTTGATTGCACCATCGTGACGGGCAGCTTGCCGTGTACTCCCAAAAAGAACTACGAGAACGTCGCATGGGAGAGGATGGGCCGATCTTTCAGTACGGCAGCGACACGGCCCACCGCGACATGCGAAGCCCAAGTTGCACCTCGACCTGCAGGCAACAAGCTTCACCGCTCCATGGTGAGACTTGGCATGCGACCTGGACGTGGACTGCGATATCGGCCCAAGTTCCTTGCCCGCGACGACGCGACGCAGGTCATCCCCAAGACGGCCATGTCTGCGACGACTGGTTCTGGAGCGAGTGCACCGACGTGAGGTAATATGCCAAAGACAGTGTGGCAGCCGCCGGGGATTGATAACCCGAGCTTGGTCGATACGGTTGTTGGGCAGGCAGTTCACGCAGTTGCATCGCGAGTCCATCGACCAAAGGCAGCGGCCCCTATTGCGGCAGCGGTGGCGGCTACGACGTGGAGGCAATGAGAGAAGGCTGCGTTGCACGGTTTGAGGGGTCGTGCTCTGCGCGCTGAGGAGAAGAGGCTCTTGCGCAACAGGGCTGCCGAGGAGCATGGGCACCTCTTTATTGCTCGCATCAAGAGGTCCATGTCGACAAGAGTCAAGTGTATCAAATGCGAGAGGGAACGCAACTATGTCACTTTCGGCCTGGATACGCGAGGTATGTTCCGGACAAAAAGGGAAACGGGCAAAAGTGCATCGCCTGACCCCTGCAGTATTAGCCGAGCGAGTTGGAGTGCATAATGAAAGCCAGAGGCCGAAGAGTCATCGCATCGAGATCGATGCCGAGGGCAGCATGATATGCACCAGGTGCATGAGAACAAAAAGACCCTGGGCGGGAATCCTGACAGCTTCATTTCGGCCACGTGCCCTTCCTCATAGCGTCTGGACCCTGCAGCCCCATATTCCTCAATATTACGCGTGTTGGAAGCTGGTGGGTACTTTCTTCTGATGCACCAGCGACCACACCTCCGCCCACTTCCCCAGAATGCCCTACGGGGCCTCAGGGACTGGCCAGGTGATCCAGTGCAGACGCCTGTGCTTGCCATCTGGAAAGTGTGGCTCACTACTTACTGCATCTTTTGATGAGAACTGGTGGGTACTGTCTTCGAGATGCACCAGCGACCATATCCTCAGCTGCTCCCACGGAATGCGCTTCGGGGCCTCAGGGACCGGCCAGATCATCCAGTGCGGACGTCTGTGCTTGCCTTCCGTGGAGTATGCCATATACTCTACCTCACACTGAATGCCACCCCTCTGGAATGCCCTTCGGTGCTTTAGGGACTGGCCAGTTGATCCCACGAGGACGATTGTGCTTGCCTTCCATGGATAGGCCACATACGAACATTGGTCGGTGGATGGCTTTCTATTTTTGCTGGCTGTGTTGAGTATTCCCAGTGGCTTCGGCCACCGTGACGGCGGGGGGGCGATGCAAGGGAAAGCTACGGCCCCCTTGCATAGCCTCGGCCCTACCGGCTTCTCACCTCAGCTATCCGTCTTTACGATCTGGAGATTGGAGAGTTGTTTTTGGGTGCTACTGGTGGGTCTGACTCAATCTGGTTGGAGTGGTAGCATCATACCTATCAGATGGGTGGCAAGGACTACCCGATGCAAGTTTGTATCACTGAGGACGTGTCCGAAGTGAAGCACCCCAGCCTGTGTGGAGGAGGAGGTTTTCGGGAGCGCTCGTAGGTTTCCAGGTGTTTCCCCCAGCAGTGCGTACACTGAGGGTTTTCACTTGCATCGGGAGCAGTTGGTTTTCACTGCGATTCCTTGGCGGCCGCCGACAACGCCGCGGGCCCCGCGGGCCCTAGCTATTGCGCCTTTTTGGTGGCCCTCCATGGTGTCCTGTCCCACCGGTGGCCACGATCTTTGCTGGCGGCCGCCTACGACGACGGTCACGAATTGTGGCTTGACGTGTCGCTCCGATGGTTCTGGCCCACCGCGCTTCCGCGCCACGCTATCCACTTCGCGGTCCACGAGCGCCCACGTCCCGAGCGTTTCCGACCCTCCCGCCCTGCGGAGCGGAACGACACGCCATCCGCTCGCAAGGCACAGCGTGTCGCCGGGCCCGCCGCCGCGACACGCTCGGCAGAAGCTCCCGACCGTAGGGGCTCCTGGCTCCCGCTGGCCCTGGCTGACGCGAGCTCCTCGTGGCGGGGGTCGCGCGCGGCGCTCTCCACGGCGTCGGCCAGGGCCCAGCGCGCCAACGCCGGCGCCGCCGCGGGCCCCTGCCCCGCGCCCTCGAGGGCCTCCATGCCCTCGCCGCCGCGCGCCCTCGCCGCCGCGCGCTCTCGCTCTCGAGGGCGCCGCCACGCGTCCGCCGTCACGCCCTCGAAGGCTCCGCTGGCAAAGCTCGGCTTCTTGCGCTCCTTGGCGTAGCCATGCGACTGCTCCTTGGTGTCGTGCATCGGACGTCGCCGCCACGCCCGAGAGCTCCCCGGCCCCTGCGCAGCCTCGGGCCCCGTCTTTGCGGCACCTCCCGCGCGGCCGCCCGCAGGCAGGCGGGCGGCCAGGAGGCCGCCGCGCCACGGAGCACTGAGGCGGAGCGCGCCGCCACGGGGTCACGGGATGGGTGTGGGTGGTCTGCTGTGGCGTCTCCGCGGGCCCCGCGAACGGGGCAAGCAGCCCCTGCTCGCCATCGCTTCCTCGTCCGCCTCGTCGCCATAGCCAGTGCTCCTCCTCCGGTGCCTCCTGCTTGCCCTCCCCTCCCCCCTCCTTTCCTCCACCCCGACCGCTTGAGCCCCCCAGGCGGCATAATTACACGAGGGGACGGCGATGCCCCGTTTGGAGGCCCGTGTGGTGCCGCTCCGCGGGAGCCTCCGCTGGCCCACGATGTGGCAGCGACCGGGGAGGCGAGGCGCCCGTGATGATGCCCGCGCGGTGCCGCCCCATGTCGGCCACGCGCCGACGGGGGTAAACAAAAAAGGGGGGAGGTTTCTTGGAAACGCCCCTGCTTCTTAGACGGCGCGGACCTCATCTGTAGATGTAAGATGCAGGGCCAGCGCCTTCTCAGAAGCGGCCTCCCCTGAAGAGGCCTTCCCCCCTCCCCCCTCCCCCCCTGCCCCCCTGCGCGAGCCGCCAGCCACAGCCCGCAGGCGGGCGACGAGGAGGCCGGCGAGCCGGGCACCGGGATCGACGCGAAGGCGGAGCACGCCTCCGCCAGGGGGGCGGGCGAGGAAGGGACTGGAGGGTTTCTCCGAAGAGCTTAGGCGACCCGTCCTTTTCCTCCTCCTCCTCCTCCTCCTCCTTCTCCTCCTCCTCCTGGTCCCGTTTCCATGGGAAACCGCGGATGTCCGCCGCCGAGCGCGAGGCGGCACCGGCCGCATGTTGGGGAGGACACCTCCTCCGATCCATGGATCTGGCGGCCGCGCACCAAATCCGTGGATCGTTAGTCCATGTTTGCGCGACCCCGACAGTCGAAGTGCCGGGGGGTCTTCGGGACCCGCGGTGGTGTTCCTCAGCTGCGTCTCGCCGAGAACCAGGATCGTCCACCTGAGGCCCAGGCCAAGGCCCGAATATCGACCAGCGAGGGGGTGGCCTTTACATTCGGGCGTCTTGGAAAATATTCGACGGTCATTTTGCCCCGTGTCGGACCTCCGAGCCCTCTTCGATCCGTTTCGAACGGCGCTGCAAGAAGACGGGGTCGACAGTTCCGCACATGCTTTCTCACTCTGAGGCGATGTTTTTCACGGCGTCGGATCTCGGAGCACGTGGGCCAAGACCAAGAGGAAAATGTTTGACCATCAGCATGGCGTGCAGAAGACTCTTGGGAGCATGGAAAGAGGCCATCTCCGCGAAGAGTGGCACACCGCCGCTGTCTACTATCGAACCGGCTTTCTGATTCCGAGCCTTTGCGGGATATTGAATTTGAAAGTTTGGTCTGCCTACCTTGCCACCTCATTCTGGCCTGCAGAACAGTCGCCACCAAAGCCGGGGGAGGGTGCACACTATAGACCAGGTGCCTGGAAGGCGGGGCTGTGTGGGACGTTCTGTCTGGATGGTCCACCTGGATGGTTGTACGCGCTGGTGTTCACCCTTCGATAGAGCTTGCAAGCACTTAGTCGCTCAGCCCAGCGCAGGCAGATCTAAGTCGGCGAGGGCTGGCTGCGGCCGTTAACTTAGTTGTCGAGGACTATATTACAACGCAGTGGGCGCAATGCCACTTTCCACGAACGAGCGAACGAACGAGAAGCCTAGCGCCAGACGGCGCGCGAGCAAGGTGAAACATGGCGCCGCGATATCAAGTTACGGTGCTACCCGGAGATCGGGCAGCAAAATCTCACTGCCGACTCCCACGATGTTGCCGCCCCACCTGATGCCGCCCCACCTGATGGCTGAAAGTATGCAGACAGCACGTCGTGGGAACCAGCGATTTCAAGACAGCTTCGGAAAACCATGCTTCCCCACGCTTGCCTGGGGCGTCCTCGTCGCCGAGGTCCGGACGGGGGCCGAATATCTATGCCACCTGCTTGAAAAACAGATTGCCGGACAGGGTCACTGTCGGGGCGTCGTGCCAGCTGGCCCATGAAGAGCATCTGCCTCTTGATGACGGTTTCGCTAATAGGCCTCCCGCCTGCCACTGCCAGGACTGTTGTAATGTCCACGCTTGCAAGCAAAAGCACAGGAATACAGTCAACCCGCATAGTCAGGATGGGCAACCTTCCCAAGGGCACCCCTGCATCCTTGCCTCCTCGGCCCGTCTTTCGCCACTTTCGTTGGCTGCGCCCCGCTCGACGAGCTTCGAAGCGGGCGTCCAAGGCCCTTGCATCCTCACCGCGCAGCCCTACTAGACGGGTTGACTGGAAGTGTGAGCATCGCCCCCCCCCCCCGGAGCTATCCGCCATGCTTCGCTCGCCGCGCGGTGCCCCGCCGCAGGCGTCCGATGGGGAGGCCCCCGCGCCGAGCGCTGCGCCGGGAGCGGAGATGGAGGCGGAGCGCCCCGCCGCAGAGGCGCGGGGCAGGGGAGAAGCAGCAGCAGCAGTCGGCGACTACAAACGGTATGGTTACGCCGGGGTGTGGTTTGCGATCGGCACCGTCGGGGCCCGGGGAGCACGACACTGTCCGCGTCGGGCCTCCTCGGGGCGCGGCGGGGAGCTCTATCGAGATCCTCTCCCGCACCCCAGGGTGCCCCCAGGGTGCCAGTTGCAAACCACACCCTTTGCAAACCACACCCTCTGGAGTCGCCGAAGCAGAAACCAGCTCTGATGAGCCAAGATCGGCGGCGAGCGAGGGGGGGGAGTGGGCTGGAGAAGGCCTTCGCAGGAGGCGGCGTGACCTCGCAGAAGTCCTCGCGCCTTCTGAGAGGTATTTGTCTTGTGTGTGTGTGTGTTTGTGTTTGTGTTTGTGTTTGTGTTTGTGTTTTTGTGTGTGTGTGTGTGTCTGTGTGTGTGTCTGTGTCTGTGTCTGTGTCTGTGTCTGTGTCGTTCGGGGAAGGCTCAAAGAACTTCTCAGAAGGCCGGGTGACTTCCGAGCCTTCTGAGAAGGCCTTCTCCTTCTCATCTCCCCCCAGGCTCGCCGCCGATCTTCGGTAGCAGCTCATGAGAGAGCCTAGCATATCCTCGAAGCCCTGTCTTTAGAGTGCATTCGCGTGTGCTTGCATTCTGGGGATCGATGAGACAGCGCCGATCCAGCGTCGATTCGCATCGATGTAGCGTCCATTGGCGTCGATATAGCGTCGATTCACCCCCGGGCTCGCCGCCCACAAGAAGGAAAGACCCGATCTTCAGCATGCTCGGAGAGCCGAGGCAGTCTCAGGCAGCCACACCCTCTAGAGAGCAGCACAAGTCATCCATAGCGGCATTATTCTCTTGCACAGCTGTGCTCTAAAGCTCGGACATCTTTATTTTCGTCGTTCGTCGTGTCGTTCGTCCCCCTCGCCCCCCCCCCTGTCCACGCTTCCCAGGGTAGCCCCCCTGGGCCACGGAACCCTTTATTCTCTTGCACAGCTGTGCTCTAGAGCTCGGACATCTTTATTTTCGTCGTTCGTCGTATCGTTCGTCCCCCTCTCCCCCCCCCTGTCCACGCTTCCCAGGGTAGCCCCCCTGGGCCACGGAACCCTTTATTTTCGTCGTTCGTCGTGTCGTTCGTCCCCCTCGCCCCCCCCCGTCCCCCTCGCCCCCCCCCTGTCCACGCTTCCCAGGGTACCCCTCGCCCCCCCTGTCCACGCTTCCCAGGGTAGCCCCCCTGGGCCACGGAACCCTTTATTTTCGTCGTTCGTCGTGTCGTTCGTCCCCCTCGCCCCCCCCCGTCCCCCTCGCCCCCCCCCTGTCCACGCTTCCCAGGGTACCCCTCGCCCCCCCCCCCTGTCCACGCTTCCCAGGGTAGCCCCCCTGGGCCACGGAACCCTTTATTTTCGTCGTTCGTCGTGTCGTTCGTCCCCCTCGCCCCCCCCCCCCTGTCCACGCTTCCCAGGGTAGCCCCCCTGGGCCACGGAACCTTTTATTTTCGTCGTTCGTCGTGTCGTTCGTTCCCCCTCGCCCCGTCCACGCTTCCCAGTGTAGTTTAACGCTTCCCAGGGTCGTTCGTCGTGTCGTTCGTCCCCCTCGCCCCCCCTGTCCACGCTTCCCAGGGTAGCCCCCCTGGGCCACGGAACCCTTTATTTTCGTCGTTCGTCGTGTCGTTCGTCCCCCCCCCCCCCCTGTCCACGCTTCCCAGGGTAGCCCCCCTGGGCCACTTTTATTTTCGTGTCGTGTCGTGTCGTGTCGTTCGTCCCCCTGCCCCCCCCCCTCTGCCCCCCCCCGCCCAGGCTTCCCAGGGCAGCCCCCCTGAGCCTCGGACACCTTTGTGCAAGAGCCAGGGCACGCGTGCCACTTGTTTTCGTCGTTCGTCGTGTCGTTCGTCCCCCTCGCCCCCCCCCGTCCCCCTCGCCCCCCCCCCCTGTCCACGCTTCCCAGGGTACCCCTCGCCCCCCCCCTGTCCACGCTTCCCAGGGTAGCCCCCCTGGGCCACGGAACCCTTTATTTTCGTCGTTCGTCGTGTCGTTCGTCCCCCCCCCCCTGTCCACGCTTCCCAGGGTAGCCCCCCTGGGCCACGGAGGCACTCTTGGCCAAGGCCTAGAAACAAAACCAGGCCAGGCCCCAGAAATCGTCGTCGTCGTCGTCCTCCTCCTCCGCTTTCTTCCTGGATCCTCCTAAACCCCTCCTGGAGGAAGGAGGCGAGGGCCTCCTGTCCTTCGCAGCTCCTTTGTGCAAGAGCCAGGGCACGCGTGCCACTTGTTTTTGACCTCCTAGATGGGGTCGGAGCAGAAGGGGTCGGAGGATCGCGCCGCATCGCCGATGCGGGGCGATGTGCAGCCCGATTTGCTTCACGTCGACGTCGCCGATGCATCGCCGACGTGGATGATGCATCGCCGGCGTATCGTCGGCGCATCCCCGATGCATCGCCGATGCATCCCCGATGTATCGGCTATGCGCCGCGATCTTCCGACTCCATCTACTCCGATCATATCTAGGAAGCCTCTAATTATGTGTACGAGGCAGGGCTTACAACATGCCGACCGCCGGCATAGGATCGCATGTACTGTTTTTGCCGAGCCGCTACGCCCTCCAGGTCAAGAGCCAGTTCGGAACAGTTACCACCAGAATCTGACGAGGGTGCCGATGAGTTGAATAATCTCTGAACCAGTGCGGGATGTACTATGCAGGTGGCTGGCAGCAGGCTACTTGCCGACATTGTTGCTAATACTAGAGTCAATTCGCAAGTTGTTCATCTCGTTTCACATTGATTCCGCGCTGCTCGCAGTGCCAAATGGGACTCGAAGGCAAAGTGTGGAGCACACGTTTTTCCGCAAGCAGCAACGCAGCAAGATGCGCAAGCAGCGCCCCTCCAGCTATTCGCCTTCGCCCTGACTCGCCGGGTGAGCTCCGACAGGCGACCGACCAGGAGGCCACCCTGCCGAGCGCCGACGCGGAAGTGGAGATGGAGGTCGAGCGCCCCACCGCAGAGGCGCGGGGGAAGAGAGAACCAATGGCAGTGAAGGGCGGTGGTCGAGAGCCACGATCAGGCGATCGCAAACATGGATCAAGGGGGCGTGGATTAGCGACGGTTCCCGTTTCCACTGAAAATTGCGGATTTCCGCCGCCGAACGAGGCGGCACCGGCCGCATTTTGGGGAGGCCCCCCCCCCCCCGATCCATGGATTTGGTGACCGCGCGCAAAATCCATGGATGGCTAATCCATGTTTGCGCGTCCCCGAGTGAAGGGCGGTGCTCGAGAGCCACGAGAGAAACGCCTAGCAGTCCGCACGGGCTCGAAAAGACTCCCCTGCAAACCCCGAGCGGACCGAGGCCGTCCTTGTCGGCGGCACCTCGCCGAGGGCAGCAGAGGAGCGCCAGCACGGGCCGTCAAAGCGGTACTGTTGCCTCTCTGCCAGTGTGTGTATGCCGTTCTCCTTGCCTCATGCTGCCGTGATGGGCATTTCCCACGGTATTGCGTGTAACCTCCTTGCTGTCCACGCCTGGATGGCTGATGTCGGTAGGACCGCATCCCAATCGATGCTGACAGGGCCCTACCACCGCGCGTACTGTCTGTTCACTTTCTCCGCCTCGTCGCTACGCGCGAGCCCGCTACCGCCAAAATCGCGCGTGTGTGTGTGTGTGTGTTTATGCGTGTGCGCGTGTGTGTACGTGCGTTCGTGTGTGACCATTCTGCCACGGAGAGCGTGCGAGTCGAGGCGCGCGGAGCGAGCGCATCCTCAGGCGATGCTGCGGCGAGGCCAAAGCTCCGCGCGGATCTCTCGGATCGGCACTGCACCCCCTCCCCCCAGCCCTGCCGCGCGGAGCGCGGGCGCCGCCAGGGGCGCCGCGCCTGGGGGGGGGGGGCCCGCGCCGAGCCGAGGAGTCCGCGCGGACCTCTTCGGGCGTGTTCGCTTCTGTCCGTGCTGGCCCCCCTTGAGGTGGCAGGGAGCAAGGGCGGGCCACGCGCAGAGGGTGGGGCAGGGTGAGCGGGGGGGGCTTCTTCGAAGCACCACTGCCTTCTCAGAAGGCGCGGGCCTCATCTGTGGATGCAGGGCCTTCGCGCAGATGGGAGGGAGCAGGGGGAGCCCCCCAGACGGCATACACGAGGGGCCGGCGATGCCCCCCCCGTTTGGATGCCCGTGTGGTGCCGCTCCGCTGGAGCCTCCGCTGGCCCGAGATCTGGCAGCGACCAGGGAAGCGATGCCCTGTGATGATGCCTTCGCGGTGCTGCCCCATGTCGGCCACGCGCAGAGGGGGGCAGGGGGAGGGGGGCGGAGCCTTCGAAGCGCCACTGCTTCTCAGAAGGCGCGGGCCTCGTCTGTAGATGCAAGGCCGGCGCCTTCTGAGAAGCAGCCTCCTTCTGAGGAGCCTTCCCCCCTCCCCCTATCCCCTTGCGCGCGCCGCCGAAAGGAAGTGCCTGGCCCCCGGCACTGCCTGCAGAGGGCTCTCAGGAGCTCGGGGGGGAGAGGCCAGGCCGTCCTGCGCGCGGCGGAGGGCAGCGAGGCAGCGCTGCCGTCGGGCGGGGGGGGGGCCCTCCGCGGTCCCCATAGGGTGGCGGCCTGCATGCCGTCGGGCTGGCTTGTGTCGGAGGCGGCCAAGAGGGGGGGATGACCAGCACGGGGGGGTGGATGTCATGGCTGGGGCCATGATACGTCCCTAGATCTCATGGCGCCTCGTCGTCTCCGAGAGCGCCCCTGGACCCGCAGTGCTCTGCGAAACCCCCTCTTGGACGGCCCCCCTCTTGGACGCCCCCGAACGTGCTGCCAGGTCGCGGTCGAGGCGTCGGCGCGCTCTCGGTGTCCGGTCGTGGTCGTCCGCCCTGTGGCTTCTGCCCCCTCCTCCTGGGGTTTGGAGCAGCGTGATCCTCGAGGCTCGAGGAGTTTGGGCGCCCTCTGGCTTGACCGGGCCATGCAGCCACCCCGCAGGGTCGCGAAGAGGACCGCTCTCTGCGCTCCGCGTCCTGGGCCGGAGAGCTTTCCTTTTCCGAGGCGGTCGCAGCCAGGGCGCCAGCGCAAAGGAGCGTCGCGCGGCGCGGGCTCGCCCCTCGATCAGCGGGAAGCAGGCACCGCAGTTCCAACGCGGGGCAGTGGCAATCTTCGAGTTGGCCACGGAGCGCTGTCGTTTAACGCGCACTTCATTACTCAGATTCCCCCCTTCACTACGGCCTTTCTCGATCGACGTGTGTCCCCCGACACTAGAAGTCCTTTTCGTCGAGTCCGGACTTGATCGCAAAATCGTGCGGAAGATTCTCGTGCGGCCGCTGTCCTCTGGGATGGTCCGGTGCGCTCGCACGGACCGTTGGGCGACACACGTGCAGCCGGGCAGGGGAGCACGAGAGACCCCAAGGAGCCCTCGAGACCCAGCCCGGCTGGCACACCAGACGCCCCAGGGAGGGCGGGCGGGAAAGCCGGCCGCGCCGGCGAAAGCGACGCCCCAGGCGACCAGCGCTCGCGGCGCGCAGGAGGGCGCGCCGGCCCGCCAGGGCGTCGCCCCGACGAGGCCGCGCGCGCCCAGGCCACACTGCACAGCCGATGGCCTGCAGCGTAGCCACGCGGCTCCCACGGGAGCACCGGCCGATACTTGCTACCCCGCCTCGGGCCCGGGCGGCAAGGGGAGCGGAGACGCCGAAAGGCAACCGAATCACCGAATCCCCGAATGGGGACAGAAGCGGCCTGTGAGAATCTTCCTCCCCAGAACCAAAGCTTAGGGATGATGAAGATTCTCGTGCGGCCGCTGTCCTCTGGGATGGTCCGGTGCGCTCGCACGGACCGTTGGGCGACGCACCGCGTGCAGCCGGGCAGGGGAGCACGAGAGACCCAAGGAGCCCTCGAGACCCAATGCTGGGGCTCTCGGCGACCCGGACCCCAATCCCACTGCTGACGACGAGAGCACAGATGATGACCCGAGGATAATTTTCACAGTCTCCACCGCTCACGGCGCGCCGTCGGACGCAGACGAGTCCGAAAACTCCACTGGCCATTCTGCAGCAGTCATGGCGTCGCTGGAGGCGGCAGAAGCGTAGCCGAACGCAGCTACGCCACGCCAGCCTCCACTGTGGAAGAGTGCCGGCACGCCGCCCGCCGCTAAGCACTCGTCCGCCCAGCCTCTGCGGAAGGCATGTGTGCCCCACTCGGCCGCGCGCTCGAAGCCGAGCGCCAGCGCCGCTGCTTTCAGCGTGGCCCGAGCCGCCCTGTAGGAAAGGCCAGGGAAGAGGCGCCCCCGCCCAGCCCGGCGCTGCAGGACGCACACCCCGCACAGCTGCCGCGACTGGAGGGCGCAGATGCATCGCCTCGTCACCACCACTGTCTCTGTGTGCATCTTGCGCTTGCGCAAGTAGATGCACGCCTTGGGCAAGCCGCCGTCGACCGCGAGCACGACCCTGGAGCGCGGCCCGTCGTGCTCCAGAGGCACCACCTCCGACGCGAAACGGAGACAGAAGTGTCTGGCGACCACGAAGGAATCCGCCACCAGAGGGTCCCGGAGCACCTCCCGCACGTGGCCAGCAATGCTGCGGGTGTCGTGCGCGCTGGCCCGCGCTCGAAAGCGGCTCGTGCTGGGCGCCGGTTTGGCGGCCCCCCGTGCCAGACTTGAGGTGTCTTCCAAACGCCCCAGAGGGATCCGGGCCAACCGCAGGGCCGCCCGGACCTGGGTGCAGTACGTCATCAGTGTGTTGCCGTTCTGCATTGCGAAAGCAAAGGCCCCCAGCGCGCTGTCTGTCGGCGGCCACGGTGGCACTCCGAGGCCCTCGGCCACCTGGCCCCAAAGCCGCACTGCGGACGCATACTTGTAAGCACTCCGATGCCACCCGCAGAGCTCCCGTCTTTAAAAGCTCCTGCGTGGCTGCGAACTCAGACAGATTGCCCACCAGTTGCGAAGCACGCTCTCTCGGGTTGCCCCCTGCGCATCCGCGACGCCGAGCCCGCGCCGCTTGGAGCTCTTCAGGCGTAACGCGGCCCAGCGTTTGCACTGCGTCGGCCAAGTCTTTGGGCCCCATGAAAGTCCCCCGAAAGCGAGCTGCGGCCAGGAAGCCAAGAGCAGCAAGGGCAGCTTCGCCCCCTTCTGGCCCTGCGGGCGCGGCGATTTCCACCAAAGGTGATGCGACCTCACCGCTCGGGCCGCCGCTGCCCTGGGAGCGCCCTGCCGGCGGCGCCACAGGAGAGCGCCTCCCGGAAGGGAAAATGGCCAATAATTCACTGGCCTGCTCTCGGAGGCACGGCCATACGTCCCGAAGTTCCTGCGCACTCATGTCGTTGAAGTCATCTCCGGCCACGGCCCCGCCACTGGCGAGAGCGCGCAACACATTATCCGGCGATGCTGGGTGGCAACGCGGCGGCGCGCGCCGAAGTACCTCCGTGAACCACCTTGCAAGAGCAGGCGGCACCACATCATGGGAGCATGCTTCTTCTGGCGGCTCAGGGTCCGAAGCGCCGTCGCCCAGAGCCCACCGCGCGCGTTTGCCGTTGATGAACTCAAGTGCCATGTTGGGCCAAGCTGACTACGGATGACTGCGTGTGGGCGCCGTGCGCCGCCGCGCGCGGCAAGAAACGCTGACGGAGCAACAACTGCGCACTCTTTTTCTACCTCGCGAATGCACGCGCGTCACCGCCTCTGCTGCCAGAAGTCCACTGCCGGCCAAGCCCGCTCGAGGCGAGCGAAGCCGCGAGAGACCAGCTGTGCCAACTCCGATGCCTTCTGCTCTGGGCGAGTTGGCCAGTCTGCCAAATTTAAATGTGAAGGCACGCGGAATGCACTTAAAAAGTGGCCGCGGTCTGCAACAGCAAACCACGCGCCAGCCACCGTAGCATTTCAGTCACGCTGGCGGGGGCACCCGCGGAGCAGCGTCCCGAGTGCGACTGTCTAGTCGATAAAAATCACAACGTCGAGCCCCGCTACGCCTTCGGGCAGACTGAAAAAGTGCCAGAGTGCACGCACTGCAGCCACTAGCTCCCAGGTGTGGATTTGCTGCTGACGCGGGCAGGCCCACCTCGCA